CCTGTGGTTTGGCAGACTTCCTGTAGAGAGACTGGAGGCCTGTTGAAAAGTGTGCCTAAGACCTGGGAGGAAATAAAGCTCCTAGCGGGAGCTGCTAAAGGAACTTGCTGCTTTACCACCATGACCACTTTTTTTTTTTTTTTTTTCGTTATTAGGGTTTTTTTTTTTTGATGTTACCAGGAATCAAACTCAGGACCTTGCACTTGCCAGGCAAGCACTTATTCCACTGAGCTATCTCCCTGGCCCCCAGGAATGTCATTTTTAAATGAATCACCTCAGTCTTGTTCTCTTTATTTCCTTCTACTTTTAGTGGGGTGAGTCTCCTCTTTCATTCCCAGTGTTAACTTTTAATGGATGTCCTGGATCCAGCTGCTTGTCAGCTCTGCCTTTTGTATTCCCATTGCCATATGTACAGTCATGGTCTGAAAATGCTAAAATGGCTTTAAAATAAGTTTCTGTTTACCAGGTGATTGCTTAATTCATCTATTCTGTATTTAGTCTGTGTCTGCCTTTTTCTCAGACTAAAGTCCCTGGTTCTCACTGATAGTGAGGATACCAGAATTAGACTATCCCACAACTGCTTGCTGCCTTTTCCCACATAATGTGCAAAACATTCCAAGAATCACAGTACCAATATCAAGCTGACTATGTGACCCTTCAAGACAGTTTATGCCCTCTGTTTTTTCTCTACTTTTCAGTTTCACTCTCATCTGTATTTCAAAATATACAGCCGTTCCATACTGTACTTTAATTTTTTAGATCCTTTCTGTGTGTGACAGAAAGAGTGTGTGAATGAGAGAAAGCCTCTCTGGTCAATTTGATGTAGCCTTTTCTTTTGTTGGTTTGTAAATCAGTGCTTATGGGCACAATATTCCTTCAGTGTGTGTTGATGACCCTTTTTAGTCTTTTTTTAATGTAACACTCAAGATCATTCACATACTATAAAATCTGTCCATTTACAGTGTACAGTTGGGTGATTTGTATGTGTTCATTTCATCACCCCAAAAGAAAATCCCACACTAGTAGCAGTCACTGCCTGTTTTCTTGAAGTATTTTCTAATTTTCTGGATTATTGCTATGACACAGGAATACTTGCTTTCATTTCCCTAGGTTTTTTATTTTATTTTATTTTATTTTATTTTTATTTATTTGAGAGAGAGAGAGGTGTATGTGTGTGGCCAGCTCAGCCCACCAGGGGGCGGGGCTGCCTGGCATGTGGTGCTGGGGGATTGAACCGTGGTCCCTGATGCTTTGCCAAGCTTGTTCTAAGTAGGTGCCTTAGACCACTGAGCCATCTCTCCAGCCCCTCCCTAGGTTTTTAATGTTGAAAATGGTACCCTAAAAAAACAAAGACTAATTATTAAATTTCATTTACAAACATTTCCGGATTTCTAGATTTTCTAGATTTTCCAGTTGCCAGTATTTTGTCTGGTGTGCATTTTCTTATGATGGTAAAGTCATTCATGGCAGCTAACATCCTTCTAGTGAGACAACCAAACATGAGCCGACCCACTGAAGCAACTCTCATATCAGGAGTATCATTAAAATAAAATTTTATTTAAATTAATTCATAGAATTTATCCCCTCAACCTCCATACTGGGAATTCAGGCGAGGACTTGGCACCTGCTTGGCCTTAAGCTGTATTACTGCTGCTTTTTTATGTATTTCAATTTTGAGGCAGGGTCTTGCCAAGTTACTCTGGCTAACTTGAATCTTGCAATCCTTCTGCTTCAGCCTTCCAGGTAGGCAGGATTACAGTTGTGTGCTACTACGCCTCGCAGTTTCCACAGCTGGTTTGATGATTTTTTTTCTTTGTGGAGGTTTAAATGTCCAGTCAGTTTATAAATTAATTTCTTAGGTTTTTAAAATTCTTTTTAATCTGAAAGACTGCTTTGCTTTTTTTTTTTTATTTTTTTATTTTTTTTTAAAAGTCCAAGTCCAGGCCAGTTTTCTTAAAGCCTACTAACCTGGCAAACATTCTGGTTTTGTGAGATTTACATTTTTTCCTCCCTTGTGATTTGGCTCATAAACTGCACAAGGGCTATAATTTCCAGGAGTATTATGTGAAGAATCTTGTAATATCATGTTTCCGTGTAGATTATTATAATTTTGTTCAATCGTGTATGGTTTTCCATTTCTAGATAAGAGTGTAATCTGTGACACTGGCTTTTAGCATTAATTTATTATTATTATTATTATTTTAAAGTTTAAAAAAATGTATTTGGTTGTGACAGGGTCTCACTGTATAGCTTTGACTTGTGATGATCCTCCTGCTTTCAGCCTCCTAAGTGCTGGGATTACAGGCGTATGCCACCTTGCCCGGACTCTGGCCGTCTGACTCATCCTGTCCTGGGGGCAGGGCTGGAGTGGCTTGTGGTGCCGGGGAATCTAACCATGGTCCCTGCACTTGCCTAAGTTTGCCTAAGCAGTTGCTTTAGTCCACTGAGCTATCGTGCTGGCTCCCAGTATGAATTTATTATGAACAGAGAATATAGTACAGGTTGAGCATCTCTCATCTGAAAATCTGAATCTGAAATGCTCCAAAGTCATGCTAGCTGTGACACTACAAGTATTCCACACTTGACCTTAGATCACAATAAAAACATGGGCACAGTAAAAGTACTTCATAAAATCACCTGCTGACTTTGTAAGCTATATATAAAATGAAATCTTGTACTTAAACTGGGGCTCTGTTTCTAAGGTGTCTTATATATATATAAAGTTTTCCATTTTGTTTGTGGATCTGTATTTCCCAATATTGTTTATTTTTCACTTTTTGTACCAGGAATTGAACTCACAACCTAGTGCTTACCAGGCCGGTGCTGTGCCACTGAGCTATATCCCCAGTCCTCCCAATATTGTTTACTTGCTTCATATTTTGAAGCCATTTAGTATGCACATGTTTTCTTTAATACTCCTTTATTATCATGACAATTATATAGCTGCTTTATAGGAAATTAGCAGACTTGCACATACTAAAAATTTGAAAAAAAAATAAAAAATGTGATCATCATATTTACATCCCTTAGTAACCCTCCTTTGTCACTTTTCTTCTATACCCTTATCACACAAAAGGACACATATCTACAAAGTAGTGATTTTTCTTGTTGAGCACATGAGAGTATAAACCAGGCATAGTGGCGCATACCTGTAGTTCTAGCTACTTGGGAGGCTTAGGCAGGAGCATTGCAAGGTCAAGGCCATTCAGGGCAGATCCTGTTTCAGAAAGGACTAGGATGAGCTCATTGGTAGAGCACCTGTGTAGCATACACAAGGCTCTTTTTTTTTTTTTTTTGGATGATACAATTCTGTATCATTGTTTTTAATTGAGGTTTTTTTTTCCCCCTTTAAAATACATAAAAATCCTTTTTCTTTCCTTTCTCCCCACACCTTCTCTTTCTCCCTTCTCCTCCTCCCACAATGGTTGTGCTGGATGCTCACCGCATCACATCGTGTCTGTGTCATGCAAGCTGTCCTCTGAGAGCCTGGCTGCATTTGTCTGCACGTTATCTGCTGAACCTCAGTGTGTTGAATAGCGCCTAGCTAGCAGTGTCTGACACTCATCAGATGCAATACAATAGCAGAATTATCCCTACGATGGTAACATTATTGATAGAGTAAGAGCCTGTGAGGGCAGGCCGGGGCCTTAGGAGGATCTTGTCCTATTTTTGAGTTCTACCCATCAGTGCCTGGTTCATCATTTTTCATGGCAGGGTCACACTGCATTGTGTATAAAGATCCTGCTTTATCCATTCCTCTCTGGTGAGCTGCTAGGCTTTTCCCAAGATTCAGTTGTACACTGTGTTGCCACAAACATGGGTGTGCATTTATCCCTGTAATCTGATCCCTTCAATCCCTTTAGGAAGATACCTAGAAGGGTAATATCAAGACCCTGTTTATGGAAGAAGAAGAAGGAGAAGGAGAAGCAAAGGCTCTTGGTTTAATCTCTGTTAGTATAAGAACAGACAAACAAACAAGACCAAAGTAGTGGGGATACTCACCCAAAAAACCGCATTGGAATTGCTGG